CCTCGCTTTTATGCCTAGCTTGGGGCGTTAAACAATAGCGCTTGTTGGGAGGCAACCCAATTTTATTTTTGTTTTTGCTTCTGTTTAGTAATAAATATTTCATCTAGCTTCTGTTTAGATGTGTTTTCATGCTTTAATTAGTGTTTGTGCCAAGTAGAACCTAGAGGATAACCTACGGTGATAGTTAATTTGATTCTGCTGAAAAACAGAAATTTTGCGCACACCAAAATAATTTTAGTAATTCAGATAAACATGATTTTGCATTGATTCTTTTTTATGTAGATCAATAGACAAATTGGCCAGGACTTCCTATTTTTGTAGGATTTTTAGAGTTCCAGAAGTATTCGGGAGTTACAGATTTCTACAGACTATTCTGTTTTTGACAGATTCTGTTTTTCGTGTGTTGTTTGCTTATTTTGATGCATCTATGGCTAGTATCGGTGGGTATGAACCATAGAGAAGTTGGAATACGGTAGGCTTAACACCAATATAAATAAAGAATGAGTTCATTACAGTACCTTATGTGGTGGTTTTTCTTTCTTACACTAACGAAGCTTATGAGATTTCCTCTTGAGTTTTGTGTTGTGAAGTTTTCAAGTTTTGGGTAAAGATTTGATGGACTATGGAATAAGGAGTGACAAGATCCTAAGCTTGGGGATGCCCATGGCACCCCAAGATATTCAAGGATAACCAAAAGCCTAAGGTTAGGGATGCCCCGAAAGGCATCCCCTCTTTCGTCTTCGTCTATCGGTAACTTTACTTGGAGCTATATTTTTATTCGCCACGTGATATGTGTTTTGCTTGGAGCGTCTGGTATGATACTAGTCTTTGCTTTTTAGATCACCACAATCATCCTTGATGTACACACATTTTGGGAGAAGCCCACTTGATTAGAATTTATCAGAATACACTATGTGCTTCACTTATATTTTTTGAGCTAGATAATTTTTGCTCTAGTGCTTCACTTATATCTTTTAGAGCACGGCAGTTGCTTAATTTTGTAGAAATTATTGGTCTCTAATACTTCACTTATATTATTTTGAGAGTCTCTTAGAACAGCATGGTATTTGCTATGGTTATAAAATTGGTCTTAGAATGATGGGCATCTAAGTTGGGTATAATAAAAACTATCATAGAAAGTGAATTGGATGCTATGATCAATTTGATGGTTGATAATTGTTTTGAGATATAGAGGTGGTGATATTAGAGTCATGCTAGTTGGGTGATTATGAATTTAAAGAATACTTGTGTTGAAGTTTGTGATTCCCGTAGCATGCACGTATGGTGAACCGATTTGTGATGAAGCTAGAGTACAATTTTATTTATTGATTGTCTTCCTTATGAGTGGCGGTCGGAAATGAGCGATGGTCTTTTCCTACCAATCTATACCTCTAGGAGCATGCGTATAGTACTTTGTTTTCAAAGGGTTGTAGATTTTTGCAATAAGTATATGAGTTCTTTATGACTAAAATTGAGTCCATGGATTATACGCACTCTCATCCTTCCACCATTGCTAGCCTCTCTTGTGCCACGCAACTTTCGCCGGTACCATACACCCACCATATACCTTCCTCAAAACAGCCACCATACCTACCTATTATGACATTTCCATAGCCATAGTTCGAGTCGCTCCCGCAGAACTTTTTCTGATTTTTTTACGCGTCTGAAATACAATAGCTCCAAATGGGCTGGCCCATTCCTCGCTGCCATCAGCGAAAGCACGTGAATTTTTTTCCAAATCCTTGGAATTTTCTTTTGAAAATCCATGAACTTCTTTTCAAAATCATAGAACTTTCTAAATCCGTGAACCCTTTTTTCAAAATTAATGAATTTTTTTCTTTTGAAAATCTGGTTCGCAAGGTTCTTTTTTTGTTTGCTACTAAGATGGCCGCCGGCTTTTATACACTTTATAAGATAATTTGAGCATTAAAAAATTACGGGATTTGAAAACAATATGCAATTTTTTTTAAAAAATCGGCCATTTCAAAAAATGTTCACGAATTTAAGAAGAAAAAAACAGAAAATGAAATTAAAAGGAAAAAGAAAAGAAAAGAAAAGAAAGAAGAAAAGGAGGGAAAAGGGAGCAAGTGAACACAAGGCATGTAGTGTCCTGGTGGAGCAAAACGTGGTGTTCTGTTCGAGCCACCCCCGCACGCTAATTTTGTGTGTTTTAACGAAAAAATAACTAAATCCACGCAGAGAAAAAACCTCCCAAAAAAGCTGCTTCCAACAGGATTGGATCTCGCGCTGTTTAGTTACGTCACAGCGTGCCTAACCTGTACATCTACTACAGCCTAGTGATTCATTATAGTGCGAGATATTAACAACAATACTAACCGCACTACTTCTGGTACAAACAATTTAGAAAGCCGTGATTTTTTGGAAAAGAAAAAAAATCTGAAATAAGTTTTAAAAAATCGCGAATTAGAAAAAAGTTCATGTATTCAAAAACTTTCAGCAAATTTTATAAAATTTTACCGTGTATTACATAAAGTTACATTTTTTTTAAATATGCTGAACTTTCTCTGAATACATGCTGAACAAAATTTCTATACATGATGAACATTTTTTTATACATACTGAACATTTTTTCAATGTATGGTGAATATTTTTCTTCAATGGGTTAACAAAAATTTGGAATAGAACTATTTTTGAAACGTGAACAAAATTCGAAAACATGAACAAAATTTGAAATTTCGAAAACATTTTCCGAAAATTCAAACGAATTTTGAAAAATCTGAACATATTTGGGATATTGAAAAAAGTTCATCCAATTCGAAAATAGTTCATCAAATTTTAAAAAGTTCACTGGTTTTCAAAAAAAGTTCATTGAATTTGAAAAAAAGTTCATCTATTTTGGAAAAAGTTCATGGAATTTGGTGAGAAAAGTTCATCAATTTTGCAGAAAGTTCACCGAATATGAAAAAAGTTCATCGATTTTGAAGAAAACTTCATCGAATTTGAAAGAAAGTTCATAAAATTGAAAAAAATTCATCGATTTTGAAAAAGATAGAAAAAGGAAAAAGAAAAAGAAAAGGCAAAAAGAAAGAACAACAAAAAAAAGAAAAAAGAAAAACATGTGGTCGTGTAATTTAAAAAGGAAAAAAAGGAAGAAGAACGAATAGTAGACGGAAAAACTAAAGCGTAACCATATCCTACCCTGTGCTCGCGTGGTTGAACTAGCTGTCCTTGACGCGGAGGTAGGTGGTTCGAATCCTGGTAGCGCCCTTTTTTGGCCTACGGGCGCACACCCTGTAACGGGCACCGTTTAGGGAATGCCGTGCAACGGGGAGCAGGATGTGCGCCCTTTGGAATTTTTTTGAACGAAAAAATAATAAAGTGGGCCGGCCCACCACATGAATCCCGGTTGACATTTGCCACGGTTTGATTTACCGGGATTACATAGTTTACGGTGTAATCGACCAGGATTTCGATTTGAGGGTTCATTTCGTCCGACCTCTACAAATTCAAGGTTTAAAATTGACTTTTTTCCTTGTTGCGACACCACTATCTGTTTGTGGTTCGGACGCCCCGGATTTTGTTACTGGTCCGGTGATCACGGATATGATGCACCAATTTTAAGTGGAATATAAAAGCTATTCCTTAAAAATGTTTTATTTGGATTAAGATTTTCCTAAGGAAAACGTTTAAAATAAGCCGGATGAAAACTCTCTCCCGTAAGCCGCTCTCCCTGTGCACCACGTGTTGATGTGGCCCCGCCACCGCTCCAATCGATTCCACCTTATCTTCTCACACGAAGCGTATCCTCCACCCCATTCTTTCCCCCTTCCCTTCTGTCCTTCGTCAAGCTGCAGAGAAAAAGCAAGCAGGAGCACCGAAGCAGAGGAGGTGACGCCTGTCGGCCGTTGCCTGATGCATCCTCGAGCCGCCGAGGCTGCATTGAAGTGCCACCGGAGCTACATCGCAGCATCCCCGCGCTATATGGCAGCTTCCGCCGTCGTTGTCATGCTTTGCGTCGCAGCTTTCGCCATCGCCTCCGCCTGCTGCGTCGCAGCATCAACCGTCATCGCCGGTGCTGCAATGAGTGCGCCGGGCCGACAATGGAGGGTGATCGGAGTTCCGCCGCGGCTTCAATGGAGCACCGTCGGGGTGTTGGAGTTTTTGTCGCGGTTGCAATGGAGCTTCGCCGCGGCTGCAAGTAGAGCATCGTCGGGGACGTTGGAGCTACGTTGCGGCTGCATTGAAGCTCCACCAGGGCTGCAATGGAGCGTCGTTGGGCTGCAATGGAGTTTCACCGGGCGTCGACAGTGCTCTGCTCCCATGGAGTTGCAGTGGAGCTTCGCTCGGGTGTCGTCGGTGCTGCATTGAAACTTTATTTGCAGCTCTCGGTGCTACCATGGTGCCGTGCAGGCCCCCGGTGAGTCTCGGCACTGTGCTACAGCGTGTTGCCGGCGAGTCTTTTTGGAGCTACGATGCAGCATCTCCGGCTGCTCGAGGGCTGCGAGGTCGGCGGCACACATGCCATCCGTTGCTTTCGATGGACCATCGTTGTGTTTCAGAGAAGGCGTGGGTATGGACTAACGACTAGGTAATGCACCTTCGCTGTAGAGGGGGACGCGCTGTGGATCGAAGATGGGCTCCAGAAATCCTAGGATCGAACATCGCTAGCGCCAATCGGACGGTTGGCTAGGCGGATGATTTCATACGGAAATCATCCGGCTGATTCGTAGCAGCCACCGAAAAACGCCCAAGTCTGAAATGCGTCGGTTGCATTGGCGCACCTACGTGTCCGCGCCGCCGACCAATTCAGGTATAGAAAACCTTTACCTCAATCAAAAAAGAAAAGGTATAGGAAACCTGCTAACCCTAGATCCCATCTCTTTCCACTCGATCCCCTCCTCCCACGCACTCCGGTCCTGCAGGCGGCAGCCGCCATCCCCTCCGACACCCAACCCCCCCTGCTCCTCCGCGCCCTTGCAGCCGCCACCACCTCCGCCGCCTGGGCTCTAAAGTCCAGGGGACCGAAGGACCGCGTTATTATGTCTTATTGCGTTTTCTGCGGGATCATCTCAAGGGAGACGGAGGCGGAGGCGGAAGAGTCCTTTTCCTTCTGCAATCGGGGCAGAAAAGAGATTGATTTCGGTTTGTTTTCCAAGCACACAGCAATTTTTACTAATATGTGTGCCGAGAAGTTGTAACCGGGATCCTTCTCCCTCTCCTCTAATAATCTCCTCCCTTCTGGAGGGGAGACGGCGATTAATCCGCCGGCCTGAATAAACAGAGGAGTGGGAGGAGTCGCCCATCAAAGAAGCAACATCAATCACATCTCTGAAAGGCCAGTTCTTTTGCTTTAGCGGATCAGCCATGAAGAACAAGAAGGGTCGCCGCGGCCGCAACGTAAGTTCTTTGTCTGTCCTTCACTTCGATTCGATTCATCCTCCAGGGCTGATTTAGTGTTTTCTTGTTTTTTCCCCTGCTAAATCTAATGCAGAAAGCAACTTGCAACGAAGACGCTGCTTGCAAAGCAAACGGAGACAGGCTTAGCAGGCTGCCCAATGATCTTCTGCTCAATATCCTGGAGAGGGTGGAGACGTTTGACGCCCTCAGAGCCTGCATCCTCTCGAAGCGAATGCTGCAGCTCCCCGCCATGCTCTCGCAGATTGTTATCGATGTTGGTTCCCTCGTCCCTGACCCTGATAGCTCCCGTGAATTTGGCATCCGTGATGTGGCTAGGGTCAATGGCGCTGTCGCTAAGATAACTGATAACATCTTGTGGATGAGGAGCCCAGGAATCACCATCCGCAAGCTTAATGTCAGAATGGTCTTGAGGCATTATGACGTTCTCTCTGTTGGCAAATCTTTTGCCCACGCCATGGCAACCCAGAAGGTCCAGAAAGCTGAAATTGAGTTCATGACGGAGAAGGCTTGCGCGGATTGCACACCTGCCGATCTCGTCGACTTTGCCAAGTGCTTCAATACTATCCTTGCTGATTGTCTGGATGCATTCGCTGGCCTTACGCGCCTATGGCTGCAAAATATGCGATTTGGTGAAGGCGACATCCCCAATGTCCTGACCACTTGCAAGCGGTTGAAATCTTTGCGATTGTCCTACTGTGACTCAGGGATCCGTTCTGTGCTGTGTTTAGAACATGCTCAACTCGTTGACCTCGAGATCGACTATGGGAAGTTCGAGAAAGTTGTGCTCAACTGGCTACCGGAACTCCAACAAGTGACTTATAATAACTGGTGCTCTTACGACGATGAGCCCCTGTCTTTTGGTTTCGTTCCGCAGCTTTCAAAGCTAAGCCTCGCGAAAATTGCTGTCTGCTCAGACAGGTGTCTAGAGTTGAGCCAGCTCCTTGCTAATTTCCTCTCCATAAGCGAACTGCATCTGAATTTTCGAAGTGAAAAGGTACTCAATTGCATCTGCCTTATTTCAACACTATATATGATCGTTGTCTTCTCTGCCATCCTAGAATGTAAACTATTTGCAGCTTGTACTCAATTCTTAGTATGCTTCTTCTTTCCCAGGCTATGATATGGTTATATGTGACAGTAATGACTTTCGTGATTTTTCTCTACTACCCTAGAACGTTGTTTTTGTGTGCATCTTGCACTCTATTCTTGATATGCTTCTTCTTTCCCAGATTTGGGTTCTACCAGAATGTCCGAAACTGCTCACGCCTGTTCTTGGCAAACTGCGGCTTGTGAATCTGGAAAACCTTCCTGAAGGATGTGATATTGCTTGGACAATGTTCATTCTTGAAGCTGCACCGGTCCTGAAGGAGCTATGCATCACAGTATGGGATCATTGGTGCATCATGGTGACAGACAAGGAGCACCGGAAGGCGAGTGGTTACTGCGACAACAGAAACGTAGAGTGGAAGCCATCTGTTTCCATTTTGAAGCATAAGAATCTTGCCAAGCTCACCATCTATGGCTTCCAAGCCGATGATAACTTCATTCGATACGTCAGGCGTGTCATGGTAGCTGCGGTGAACATGGAGGAGATATCTCTTCATGACAGGATGGTGTGGAAGTGCTGTAGTGACTCGGATCCCAAGACAAGGTATCCACGGACTGATGAGGAGAGGCAACATGTTATAGAGGAACTGGGAATGGATCTTCATTCCGTGGTTCACTTCCGGTCCTAATTGAAATCAATGAGTGACATTGGATTACAGTGATCTATTGTTTTATGTGAATCATATGGCATCACCATGATGGAAGGAGCTACTGAACTGCGTAATTCGGTTGTTACCGCTGTTACACTTTTGTCTCCCCGTAAATTCAGAGCAGTACTGTTGCCCAGTTTCAGCTGGAGGAGAGACTGGCAAAGGTGTGGAATTGCTGGTGACCTATCCTCTGCATTTTTTCTTTAAGATGATGCCCTACTTACTCTATGTAGTTGAAAGGAGTTGCTGAACTCTGAAATTCGGTGTTACCGTTGTTGCACTTTTGTTTACCCTTTGATTCAATGTCCTCAGTATTCTGTTTTCTGATGCTTCCTTTAACGTGCAAGATTGCAATGTGGCTCGTTGCATGACTTCAGTGGTCCTGCATTTAGTACTGTATATACCTGGATTTAATCTATCGCTGAAACCTTGCAACAATTACAGTAATAAGATACGGAGTATATCAATAAGTGTGCATGTAGAATTCAATTGTATAGAAACTACTCTATTAAACACTTGTAGCTATCGATGACTGGCTCGCAAGCTGAGGGTTTGTGGATTAGGGAAGATGGGAAAGACTTTCACCAAACATCTCATGCAATCGATGGAAATGTAAATCTTATTTTCTCTGATCGAATGGGCATGCACACATATTTGAAATGCTACAAAAATTCTATAAGCATCAAAAGATGGCCCACTAAAAAATAACATGTTAAGGCCATGGCAAAGAGCACAAATCTTTAATTTGCCAGCAAATTGCTATCCCAATTCTCTCACAGTGATGATCCAGGGCATGCTCATCCCAAGCTATCCGTATATAAACTCCAAACACCAAACTAATTCAGACACATAGATAAGCATACTAACTGAACACGTATGTTCTGAGCCAAAGCCTTTTTAGGTAGCCAACAATAAGACTAAACTTTGATATGAACAACTTCACTACGAGTACTAATTTACAAGGGGAACATATTCCGCAGAATGTGCATTCTGTGAACTTAAATGAATACATATGCCAGGAACATCTTTGTGAATATGGTGACCAGCAGCAAAGTTGTGAACTTAAATGGATTTTAGGCTGCTATATTATTCTATGTTTCTACGTGATACGAGTATTGATGCCTTCAAATAATCTACATCATGCTTTCCTTCGTACAAAGTGTATATCGATATATTGTACTCCCTCCGTTCACAAATATATGATGTTCTAACATGTTGTGGATCGGATGTACATATACACGTTTTGTGTGTTTGTTCATTCATTTCAGTACATATGTAGTCCATATTGAAATATATATGCAAAACAACTTCTATTTGTGCAGAGGGAGTATCGTGTATAGTGAGACTGGTTAGGCAAGTCAAAACTCTGCCTTCTTATGAGAGAGCTACTACTTAAACAAAAACCTTTCTGTTCAAAACATCTTATGAGGTTTCCTTGGAAGAGAGTATTGGTGCCTATCAGCACTCTTTTGGAACACAGATGCACCTTTATACGTTTCTTATTCAATGTTCAGATCGTACTCCCTCTGTTTACAAATATAAGATGTTCTAACTTTTTTCTGAATTGATCTGTATGGACACATTTTAGTGTACTTGTTCACTCATTTAGTATGTATGTAGTCCATTTTAAAATATCCAAAATATCTTATATTTGTGAGTGGAGGGAGTTGTATGTAGTAATAAAGGAATTGAAATTTTCTGATTTTCTTTTATTATGTTACTGTATAGACTGCACCGAAAATCTATGTTCGTCCCCCCATCTCTTTGTTTCCTCCTCTGTCTGAATATGACGGTCTACACCCGTCTGTCCCTCATGCTCATTCCGTTGTGGGTCGTTTGAAGGCAATACCTTGTTTTCTGAAATCTTGGCAGGGAAACCATCACCAAGTGATTAGCAGCAAAATATTATCACTGGTGGAGGGTAGGGCCCTAAAAGGGTTAAATGGATGATATTGGTGCGAGTAAGAAACAATGCTACAGTGCATATATTATCATGTTTGTTTACGTAAAGTTACTGTGGGTATGTTTTCAACAACCTTTTTTTGTGATCAAAATTACCCATGATGTTTGTGCATAAGTTAACACACATACTGAGTGTGTATTCCATGCAAAAAAATAAAATAAAGAAAATACTGAGTGTGTATTACCATTTCACTTGCCGACTAAAAGGCGACATGTTCAACAATTAGGTGTGCCAGAGATGTGTATATTGAGATGGATGTGTGGCCACATGAGGAAGGATCGAGTCCGGAATGATGATATACGAGATAGAGTTGGGATATCACCAATTGAAGAGAAGCTTGTCCAACATCGTCTGAGATGGTTTGGGCATACTCAGCGCAGGCATTTAGAAGCTCCAGTGCATAGCGGACGGCTAAAGCGTGCGGAGAATGTCAAGAGAGGGCGGGGTAGACCTAATTTGACACGGGCGGAGTCCGTTAAGAGAGACCTGAACGATTGGAGTATCACCAAAGAGCTAGCTATGGACAGGGGTGCGTGGAAGCTTGCTATCCATGTGCCAGAGCCATGAGTTAGTTGCGAGATCTTATGGATTTCACCTCTAGCCTATCCATGTGCCGGAACTTCTTCTTCTTGTTGTTGTTGTTGTTGTTGTTGTTGTTCACTTACACATAAGTTGCCTTTCTTTACGAAAGTGCACATGAGTTATTGAGGGTATATTTTCAACAACAAAATCCAGCGGACAAAGTTAGTTAGCGCGGTTTTTATACGTAAGTTATCACGCCTACACTGTGTATATTACCATGCTACTTACATAGAAGTTAACATGGTTTGTTTTCAACATCTTTTTTTTTGGGTAGAGTTACCGCGGTATTTGTACCTAAGTTATCATGTTTGCGATGCGTATAGTACCGTGCTATTAAACAAAGAGAATTACTGGTAGCCCTCAAGTAGTAACATCCAACTGTTTCTCCGCCGGCTCTAGATCCCCTCCCCAATTCTTTCTTTGAGGTTTATGAGACACAAATCTACCCTGAAATCCACTGTATCCGTGAGGGTTTGTTTGGTAGCATGTATGGACCTAGCCTAGTTGTTCTCCTCTCATACATGCTGAGTGTAGACATGTTGAGTCCATGCATTTGCTGTTGTTTGGCAGCGGTGTATGCGCTGAGATATGCTGAACTGAGACTTTATTTGGTAGCATGCATGTGTTCAGACATGCTGAACAATTTCGAATTCCTAATAACTTTTTTGAATGGTGAATAAAATTGGAAAATGTGACAAACATTTAAACATATTTTGAATTCTGAACTTTTATCAAAGTTTTTTTTTTCAAAATCTAAACAATTCCTTTCAAATTTAAATAAAATTTGAAATTCTGAACATTTTTTGAAAATTAAACATAGTTTGAATTTCTGATTTTTAATATTTTTTAAAACTAAAATTCTTTTTTTGTATTAAATTAACAAATTTTGAAATCTTGAACATTTGTTTTTGATTTTTCTAAATTCTAAGCATTTTAAAAATTGAAATTTTTAACATTTTGGAAATTTGAATAAAAATTGAAATTCTAAACACTCTTTGAAACTTTAAACAAAATTTAAAATTCTGAACATTTTCATAAATTTTAACAAAATTTGCAATTCTGAAGTTTTTTCGAAATGTAAGAAAATTTTGAAATTCTTAACTTTTCGAAAGCTTAAACAAAATTTGAAATTATGAACATTTTTTGAAAATTTAAATATATCTAGACATGGTCTGGTGGGTGGGGATGAGGATCGGGGTGAGAATGGCTGCCTTCATACACCCTCTCTGGGGTTCCCGAGATGGGCATGGCTGAGGGCCCTTTTTTCCATGAGATGGGCATAGTCCAGATGAGCCCATGTACCTATCAAACAAGCAAAAGTTGGGCGGATTGAGAACTTTTGACCTCATGCACCCTCCATGCATCCTATCAAACACACCCTGAGTAGTTCGTGAGGCATAATAAAAAGCAGGGGTCTGTCAGCTAGCACTAGCGGAGGGACAATGTGTTGCAATCTTGCCTAACATGGGATCTATCCTGAATGAAAGAAATTAAACCACAGAAAAATGCAGCAAATAGCCTTCCATATCATGAAATTAAGTTTCGGCCAGAATCCTAAAATATTTCTTGCCCTGGATGCAGAGGCAAGGAACTTTGATCGTCAACTAGCAAAAGGGCCCGTGCGTTGTACTGGGAGAAGAAAATATATCATAGTTTTCAATGGCCATGATCACATTTTGCTGCATCACCGACATACGCTATCACTCTCAATTTCGTGGAATCATGAACATTTCTCTAAATGCGTGAACACATTTGAAATAATGAAACTGTTTCAAATTCATGAACACTTCTACAAATTTTCGAACATTTCCTAAAATCAAGAACATTTTTTGTATTCATGAACATTTTATAACATTTGCAAACATTTTTTTAATTGTGAAAATTTGTAACAGTTTTCTTGAATAAACAGATATTTCTGGAATGCACAAACAATGTTTTGGAAATTGGTGGAACAATGTTCGAAATTCACGAACATTTTTTTGATTTAACGAACATTTTTTGATATAATGATCATTGTTTGAATCAGCGAACATTTTATGAAAGAATAAACTATTTTGTAAGTCACGAACATTTTTCGAATTGATGATTTTTTTCAATTTCGTTAATATTTTATATACATTAATTTTTAAGAAAAATCATGAACATTTTTTGATATCCTGAACATTTGTTTTCAAAACTTCAAACATTTTTTGAATAAGCAACATTTTAAAAAAATCATGAATGTTTTTTGAATCTACAAACATTTAATGATTTATTAAATATTTTATTTCATAATTCCCATTTTTTTCAATTTGCAGAACTTGTTTGAAGTCCAAATTATTTAGGGTACAAAAACTAAAATGGAAAACAAAAATAAAAAATAAAAGACATAATTTAAAAAACAGGCCGCCCAGAATTGTTTGGATATTTTCAAAATAAATCTTCATGGACTTCA